ATCCTATGGAAGCAAGATACTTATGACATAGTCTCCCAAAACCTTGCTTCAGTAATAATAAATCATTTTTTTTTAAAGTTCAGGCACAGTCTTTCCTCCACTGAGGTACAAAGCAGAAAATGTGAGTGGGTTGTCAGTTGAGAAATACAATAAGAGATGTCAAGAAAGAACAGGTACTTTTCTTACCTGTTACTTGCTTCTCCCTTAGAGGAAGCCTCCCTCACTGGATGGGAACTGTTAATTTGGGACATGCCAAGTTTCAGCTTTCTCTTCCTCGAGACAACTATGTTTTCTTCAGTGCATTTATACAGTTGTTGTTGTTCAGTCTCACAGTCGAGTCCGACTCTTCGCGACCCCATGGACCAGATCACGCCAGGCCTTCCGGTCTTCCGCCGTCCTCTGAAGTTGGCTCAACTTCATGTTCGTTGCCTCTATGACACTGTCTAACCATCTCATCCTTTGCCGTCCCCGTCTTCTTTGACCTTCAATTTATACAGAGATATTCTGAAAAATACGTTTTCTTTGCAGGCTGATCAGAAGAGAGGAAAGAAACAAACTGCTAGGGAATTAAAGAAGAAAGTGCTGGCAGACAGGCGCAAACCCCTAAACATTGACCACCTGAGTGAAGACAAACTGAGGTAAAATGCCCCTCCCCCCATTTTGAAATCGGATATTTGCTTCAGGTAATATGAGAAGGGAAAAAAATCGGGCTTGCCAGAATTGAGCACTGATCCCAGAAAAAGCAATTAACTCTTCCTGCCTTGAGTTCTTTCTCCAGCTGAAGCAGTTTGTGGGAAGATTTCTTGTGAGATCTTATTTAGAGAAGATCACGTTCTGCTTTTGGCTAAGATGCAGAGATGAAGGGTTGTTGTTTTGGGTTTTTTTGCGTTTTGCGGTCAAGCCACAGGTGACTTATGGTGACCCCATGTGGTTTTGAAGGTAAGAAATGTTCAGAAGTGGCCTGCCGTTGCCTGCCTCTGCCTTGGGACCCTGGACTTCCTTAGCGGTCTCCCTTCCAAATACTAACCTGGGCCAACCCTAGTTAGGTTCAGAGAGCGGATGCGATCAGACTAGCCCGGGCTATCTAGGACAGTGCAGATGAAGGATATGAATTGCTTCTTGTGTTGTGCCAAACATCCAGCCTTAACTGGACTACACAGTCAGGATACTGCAGAATGCAAATTGAAGTGGACTGGCCAAGAATCTCATAGTCTATAGAAGAAGAAGAAGAGGAAGAGGAAGAGGAGGAGGAGATTGGATTTATACCCCACCTTTTACTACCCAAAGGAGTCTCAAACCGGCTTACAATCTCCTTTCCCTTCCCCTACCCACAACAGACATCCTGTGAGGTAGAAGAAGAAGAAGAGATTGGATTTATACCCCACCTTTTACTACCCAAAGGAGTCTCAAACCGGCTTACAATCTCCTTTCCCTTCCCCTACCCACAACAGACATCCTGTGAGGTAGAAGAAGAAGAAGAGATTGGATTTATACCCCACCTTTTACTACCCAAAGGAGTCTCAAACCGGCTTACAATCTCCTTTCCCTTCCCCTACCCACAACAGACATCCTGTGAGGTAGAAGAAGAAGAAGAGATTGGATTTATACCCCACCTTTTACTACCCAAAGGAGTCTCAAACCGGCTTACAATCTCCTTTCCCTTCCCCTCCCCACAACAGACACCCTGTGAGGTAGGTGGGGCTGAGAGAGCTCTGACAGAAACTGCTCTTTTTCAAGAACAGCTCTTATCAGAACTATGGCTTGCTCAAGGTCATCCAGCCAGGTGCAAGTGGAGGAGTGGGGAATCAAACCCGGTTCTCCCAGATTAAAGTCCACGCACTTAACCACTACACCCAACTGGCTACATAGGTAGATCTGGCCAGGAGTTTTAAATTTAGGGGCACCGTCTATCCATAGCCTTTTGCCTTGTGATCACTTCACTGGCTTAACTCTTTACTTCCCAGAATTGGATGGCCCAAGCTAGCCCAATCTTGGAAGCTAAGCAGGGTCAGGTCTGGTTAGTACTTGGATGGGGGACTGCCCGGGAAGTCCGGGGTTGCTAAGCAGAGGCAGGCAATGGCCAGCCAGCTGTGTTAGTCTCTTGCCTCGAAAACCCTATGGGGGGAGTCACCATCAGTCAGCTGTGACTTGACAGGACTTTCCACTACCGACCCTTTTGTGTTGAGAACAGTGGGACATAATAGTGTTTACTTGTATGTGAATCGTTAGGGCTGTATGCAAGCTCACCCAGGAGAGACGGATGTTGACTACCATCTAGTGATTAATGATGTTTCATTATGGAAGTGGCCAGGTGTTTCTTCCACAGCATAAACAATAGGTTTTCGGTTTGCCTGCCTTTCCCCTTCCAATTTCCCCAAATTAGCTTTGTAAGGGGCAAAAATATATATATGAGATTTTGAATTACAGATGCAAAGCAAAATAGTTGAGAAGGTTGGGAAAGGGAAGCCACATAAATATTCATTGGCAGCAATGTTCCCTCTAAGCTGCAGAGTCTTGTGAGCAAAAATTCTACTTTTGTGAGCTACCGGCATTAAAACTGTGAGCAAGCGATTTGGCTACTGCATAAGTTAGTTTGCTCTAGAGCCCTCCTTCCTGATCAGAGACAAAAATGTGTGAGCCGGAGGCTAAAAAACCTGTGAGCTACCTCACACTAACTCAGCTTAGAGGGAACATTGATTGGCAGTACAGAGGAACGGCACTGGATTCAGCAGCGGCACAGCTAGGGAGCCTTGCTAGGCCTGGCAGCATTGGGTAGGGTTGGCAAGTCACTTACAGGTAATAGTGGAGGAGACTCGGTTCCTCTCCGGGACATTCGAGTGTGCACAAAGTGTGCACGTGCCACGATGACGTCACCCAAAAGTGACGTCATCACGTTGGGCACGTGCGCCGGCTGACGCTCTAGCAATCAGCCTGGAAACTCCATGGTACGGGCATGTCGGCCTGAACCGGGCACTTTGGGGGCAGGGTTCCCCCTGCTGGACTTTTCCGGACTGGCGGATTGGGGACCCTTTTAGCGGGGGAACCTCCGCCCTCCTGGGGGACCTGGCAGCCCTAGCAGTGGCGGCAGTGCAGGCCAGGAGCCTGGCAGTGCCTTCACTGCCTGGAGACTCATGGGGCATGCCGCCAGCAGCAGTGCAACCCATGAGTTGCGCTGGGCCCGTGCAGTGGCCATGCAGCCCAGTGAAATCCCTGAGATGTGCTGGGCCCAGCGTGAAAGTAGTGTGGGTGGAATCCCCCAAGCGAGTACCACCAGCCCACATTTGAGCAGCTGCCTGACTATGCCGAGAGCGGGGGTGGGGAAGGGAGGAGGAATCCTTGGTGAGCCCACCTGGAACAGCTCCAGGCGAGCCGTTGAGAGCCGAGGAGAGCCTCAGCAAGCCTGTCAGAAGCAGCTCCGGACAAGCTACTATGAGTGGTGGCGGGGAGGCAGTGAGAAAGTGAGGGGGAGATGAGATATTCCCCCCCCCAGGCCTCACTTGTAAACACCGAATTGCCAATATTCACACTGCTTCCCAAAGAGCCCCCCATCATTGTTACATAAGATCTTATTTTATATGAACTCCTAGTTGACAACATGTTCTAGATGGCCTCAAAGGTATTTTGCATGTATGTGGAAACCTTCATTATAGGCAGCCTTGGCAATAAGGCTAACTAGTGTTATGATGTCTACAGAATGGATGGTTGGTGTGTGGTGTTTCCGTTATTCCCCCATCTTTCTTCTTCTTCACCAATACACAGGGAAAAGGCCCAGGAAATGTGGGACTGGTTATGTTCTCTGGAAACTGAGAAGTATGAGTATTTAGAGAAGATGAAGAGACAGAAATACGATGTGAGTAGAAAAAAGAGATCTTAGTTACAATTCTTCTTACCAGCCAATCCTCAGGTGAAATGGCTTTCGATCCTCCCGTGGGCAGAATGTTCTCAGGACCAAAGAAGCCCTATTACCATTTGGTCTACTTATCAGTAGGATTTAAATATTCTGTTTTTTCCAGCAAGAGAAGAAAAATTATTTCCTTATGACGTGTCTGATGGGGAAATACACAAAAATTCAGAGCCATTTATTTGCCCGTCTCATTATAAAGTGCCTTCGCTCACAAGATGTCTAATCTCACAGTTTTACTTTCCAGCTCAGAATTCCAGAGATGGAGCCAAGAACTACTATGGAAAGATCAGTACTGGAATGAAATAACTAGGGATCCAGCGCTGAATTCTATTTTGAAGCCCCCTGCCTCCGTGGTCTCTCCCTCAGCTATACTCGTATAGACAGCGGGTAGCATCAACTGTTCAACTGTCTTCCTAATGATAAAGACGGTGTAGTTGATCTCAGGGGGAAAGTATTCTACATTTATCTTCAGACAGGGAGCATGGCTCCAGCCCTTAAGTCACGGGATAGTCGCTCTGCATACTGTCTGAAACTTACAATCCAGTCACACATTTTGGGTCTGTGCACACAAGAATGAATGTGCATAGGTGCTGCACATATTACACATAGTGCGTGTAGATGAGCTGCACCTGAGGGCAAAGTGGGGATGGTGGTGGAGGGATAGATGTGTACATTTCCATTATCCCACCACCGGGGCGTCTCAGGGGGAAAGTATTCTACATTTATCTTCAGACAGGGAGCATGGCTCCAGCCCTTAAGTCATGGGATAGTCGCTCTGCATACTGTCTGAAACTTACAATCCAGTCACACATTTTGGGTCTGTGCACACGAGAATGAATGTGCATAGGTGCTGCACATATTGCACATAGTGCGTGTAGGTGAGCTGCACCTGAGGGCAAAGTGGGGATGATGGTGGAGGGATAGATGTGTACATTTCCACCGGGGCGGATGAAGGCTCACGGGTGCACTAAGCACTGACCAATCTTGGTGCCCCCCTCCTCCTTTCCACACTGACCCAGTCCATGTTAGTTGTTGACCTGTCTGGCCAGATGTACAATGCAGGTGGCAGCAATACAAAAATTTATTCATATGATAACACAATATACTGTACAAGCCAAGCCAAGCTTGGGCTACATAAAATTCTACAAAAATGCAATACAACATCTGTTGTAATATCTCACAAGTTAAACGTATCAGAGTTCCAGTATTCATGACCTGAAGGGCATTTTTCTACATTTCATTTTTGCGAAATCACTGATCACATCCTCGAAATTAATACCTCTCAGAATGCATCTTGCCAACAAAAAATAGAAGATAACCCTAGGGTGCACCATGATCAATTTGCACTAGTTTTATCAATATATTTTTTTTTACAAATCTTCATTCGTGTTTTTTTTTCCTTTTCACCTTTCCCCCAACTTTGTGGTGCCCCCTTTGGCCCTGGTGCCCTAGGCACGTGCTTAGTCTGCTTAATGGTTAATCCGCTCCTGCCCACCACCCATGGACCTTGTGCTTTAAAGGGACATGATAATACAGCAAATGTAAATGAACACTGTCTTACAGTATTTGCCTGGTTAATATGCTAACGTTAATATAATTCTCTGGAATTTGCTCGCGAGTCAAGATAGGGTTAGAGCCTTGACTGCTTTGAAACGTTTGGGGTTGTTTCTCGGAAAACAAATTCTAAACATCTGGGTCTGCGAAGTATCCCAAAGCCAATATAATTATCTTGATCTCTCTTAGATTTTATCCCTACGTTGCAGGGTGGAGGCAATATCCAAGTTGTAAGTACAAAGGCTTCACCCACATGACAAAAGTAGCAAAGGCTGTTTATCTGCATGGGCCTCTTGCATGTTGAGACTCCGGGTTCTCCAGGTCCAAGCAGATGTACAGCAAGCTGGCACTCAGTTCCTGGCACAAAGAGCGAGAACCTGTGCCCCTCCCGTCTGCTATGCATTCAGGGCAGGCTGAGGCACTCACTGAAGAATATAACTGCTGTGTTTCTAGACCAGTTATACAGGTGTCCTGTAACCCAGAATCACAGTCTTGTAGTACCAGTGGGTACTTTTAGAATTTTGAGAATGGGAAGTGGGCACGACCACAAAATAGACCCTAGGAAACCCATGGGCATCACATGCTGGATCTTTGATATAGATTAACAGGATGGTGGCAGCAAAACTGCGAGACCTGGACTGGAAGCCATAATCCACAGATAAGAGTAATTTTGTAGCCAGGGCTTTTTTTTGTAGAAAAAGCCTAGCAGGAACTCATTAGCATAATAGGCCACACCCTGACATTGCAGCTCATTAGCCTATTAGGCCACACCCCCATGCCTTCCCTTGGCTTGCCTGGGTGCTCCGCGACTGCGGGGAGCCCAGGCAAGCCGGCCCTTGGACAGGCCAATCCTTCCAGGAACACCCCTGGCCCACCCGACTCGGAGTCACCAGGGGGGTCGCTCTCCAGGCCTTCCCTGTGTAGCCACACACGCAGAGGTTTTGCCTGTAGTGGGCGTGGCCAATTCTGAAGCCAGCCGGAACTCCGTTCCTGTGCGTTCCTGCCCCAAAATAGCCTAATTGTAGCCTACACAAGAGGCTGTTTTCTTGGGAACCTGCTTCACGGAGTTAGTGGCAGCACCAACGCAAAAAAATAATATTCCTTTCAATACAAATATTTCCAAAAGGCAAAGGCAAGGCAATTCTTACACATCTATGTTATCTGTGTAGAGTTCCAGTGGTAAAAAATGCAAATTACTGTTGACATGAAGACTATCATGCAAGCAAAATGAGGGGGATAGCAGGTCAAGATTCATAAGCAGTTGTTTTAAAAATTAAAATAACATGAAAGCAGTGATACTCTTTAGTGCCTGCCTCTTTCTTCTCTACCTTTGAGACTCAGGACAGTGAGTGCCATGCCTGTTGTTTACAACTTGCCGCAGGTTAAGCAGTGAAGGTAAGTTCCAGTCATTGAGTTTAAGCTGACTAGCAAAGTCAAACTTGCCAGGACTCACTTCTACAAGGCACATTTCAAATTCCCACGAGTAAGTATATCAGATGATTAAGCTTTCTTGTTCATGTTGTCCCATTGCCTCCAGTATCAGTAGGGTTGCCAGGTCCCCCCGGGGGGTGGGGAAACCCCTACTCGATTGGCTTGTTACCCGCTGGCCCAGATTGGGCCACCGGGGGGAACCCCACCCCCAAAATGCCGGTATTGCCGAGATGTGCCCGGCGTGATGACGTCACCCAGAGGTGGGCACTTCCGGGTGACGCGCATGTTGGGGAGGAGTTCCCCCCAGGGCCCGATCTGGGGGGGGCGGGGGAACGGGCCTCTGGGGGGGGGGTTTCCCCGCCCCCCGGGGGGACTTGGGAAGCCTACTCATGCTTCCAGTATGGCATCGCCCGGAAGGAACCCTGGACGAATTTCTGCGGAGCAAATTCAAGTGGTTAACCAGCTCTGGAGCCTTCCTATTTCCAGCTTTTGTCAATCGTGCTCAATCTCTGTCTTCCAAATCAATGTTTGCTAACTGGCTGGTAAATCTCCAGCAAAGATTAGGAGCGGGGGAGGAACCATTAGATGACGAAGAAATGGGCGTAGGCAGCTTATTCCAGGGACAGGGCTTTTAAGGTTCAAAGTCTTTCCCACCTGTTTTGTTCTATGTCTTCATTGTTGCATGTGTTCGTTAGGAAAACTCTATACAACAGAGACAAAGGCCAAAATATTCAGATAAGAAGCACGTGTGGTTGGTGGGTTGGCGAGAGGAATGGACGTTTGGAGGAGCTGTCCAGCTGTCTTGTTCTTCTTGTGCAAGTCTATATTTAGTTATATGGAGGTTCTAGAGTAGGGGGTCACTGACTTATACCCTGAAAAGCAAAGGCAAATAATGCAACAGAACATTATACGAATAACCGACCACGTTGCTATTTCCACATGGGTGGTTTGCCCCAGGTTGAATGCCGTCGGGAAGTTTCCCCCCCTGCTTCCCCACACCATTGCGGTGATTACCGGATTCTTCTGCAATCTTTCACAAGCCTGCTTTACAGCAGTGTTTTGCTATATCTTGTATTTCCACATGGGTGGTTTGCCCCAGGTTTATTGCCGTTGGGCAGTTTCCCCCCTGCTTCCCCACACCATTGCGGTGATTACCGGATTCTTCTGCAATCTTTCACAAGCCTGCTTTACGGCAGTGTTTGGCTATATCTTGGACCCCCCCCCTTCCTATTGTGCAGGGGGGTGACCGCCACAGTGACTGGAGCGGGGGAAATGGAGGCAAAGCTTCCGCCTGGAAGCCCTGCGTCGCTGCACTACACTGGCAGCTACAGTGACACTGGGGCTCCCAGTCCATAGATAAATGCCTTGGTCCTAATCTTTGCTTTGCCAGCAAACAAGCATTCAGTGCAGGGTACCTATCGTAATTTGTCTCCTGCATCCTTGCATTGTCATATCTCAGACTGAAGTGGTAGGAGTCTGTCCTCTGGGGGGGGGAGATTAGGAGCACTTGTCTCTCATGTATAAGGTTTGTTTTCAGAACATAGTATCTTTCTGAGTTAACCAACAGGTAAAGTATGCTTACAAGCCACGTCATTTTCGGTAGCGGACAAGGGCACCGCGATGAGGAAGCTGACGTCAAGGAGGAAGATGGCCCAGAGGAGGTTCATGTGGATATGGACAATACTGTCCCTCTCGTTTTTCCTGTGGAGGACAAGATATGATATTTCTTTTCTGAAGCCCTGAACGGCATTCATACCTTTAGGACTTTGGGTCATGAAGCTGTCTGCTGTCAAGTGCCCCCTGCTCTGCCAATGAGTGATGCACACAAAACAAAAGGCTATGGTTGCCAACGTGCATCCAAGGCACCTCAGGCTCCTGAAGGCTACGGGGGTTTCCATTTATACTCATTGTTAAGGAAGATGGCGACCAGTATGGGATTACTGTGAGCCACAACCCCAGGAAAACCTTTGGTTACCCAGGGTGCTACCCTAACTCTGCTGGTTGGTTGTTTTCTTGGCACTGAGCTCAGCTTATGAGGTCACATGGATGGACGGTGGCTAGGCTGGAAAATGAAGCAGGAGCCAAAGATCATTGTGTTGGCCTTGAGCCATCAAGATTTCACTCAGTTCTCCACATTCCAAGCATAACAGTCACAGGGAAACTGAACAGACAGCGAGTTCCACCTTGGGGGACACTAGCTGCAGGCAACCACCATCAGGCCCCAAGACTCGGGACTGCAAAAAAAAAAAAATCTCTGCCCAATACATGCTGGATTGCACATGGCAGCTGCTACAACTGACTGGTTTGTCAGAGGCTGGGGCAGGAGCATCGTTACACACATATACTGAATCAGACCACTGGTCCATCAAGTGCAGTATTGTCTACTCAGACTGGCAGCCCCTCTCTAAGGTCTCAGACGGAGGTCTTGCACGTCACATACCACCTGGTCCTTTTACTTGGATTGAACATGGGGGCCTTCTGCATGCCAAGCAGATGGTCTCCCACAGAGTCACAGCCCCATTTGCCAGATTCTTCAAGGACTTTCCCGATTGCCAGCTCTCAGCCACTGGCCACTCGAAGAGGCTTGGACTGATTTCCCACAAGACTCTGCTCTGCCCTCGCTCTTCCCCCCCAGTGGAATGCATCAATTTCCCACCCGAAGCTGAGGGGCTGCATTTTGACTCGCAGCTTCGCCCGATCTCCTCCGCAGTTTCGTGATCCTGGTTTTTGAGGATCACGAAACTGCGGAGGAAATGGGGCAAAGCCGCGGGTCAAATGCAGCCTCGGGTGTGAAATTGACAAATAGTGTCGGGGCAAACGGCGGCTGTGCCGCGAGGCAGCTCTAGTGCGAAATCGCCCACTATTACTTCAGATTTGACCCACAGACTGCTAATTGGCCACCTGCTTAAATGAAAGCTGCAGCTGGAAAAAAATATTCCTCTGGACGATGTTTTATCCCTTCTAATGAGGACGCACCCAGTTGAAGGGACACAATTGTGCCCGTCCTAGGGACTGTCACCTACAGTGTAGAGCTTCTCACATCAAAACTAGGGCAAGGATTGGAAAAAAACCTGTGACTGCAGCAGCCCACACTGACATTGTCCTCCTTTCCATATTACAGCAGCAAGAAAGCCGGAGCCAAGGGCAAAGTCGGAGGGCGCTGGAAATAGAGATCCCAAAGGCGTCTGCAGGCAGAATCATCATCGGTGGCATGGCTAAACATTACTGGCCTCCCTTTCCTCCTCTGAAAAAAAAAAGAATTCCGTTCCCTCGCCTGAGCAAAACCACAGTTGCAACACCAGCCTGGATTGCCTAGTGCTTATTTCAAGAGCTCCCACCTCTTCCAGAATCAAAAGGGAGCCAGCTGTTCTGGGATGGAGACGACTCCCTGCTGATACCTCTTACCACCTGCCGTGTGTCCTTCATTTCCCTGATACCAGCCCTACGCTGCCCTGTAGATTGCAGTGGATCGCTCTCTTGGTTTTGTAAATAAAGTGTGACCGATAATATAAATCAGCCATACAGCTCATGACTTGCCATTCTTCTTTTCTCATTGACTTATCGTTGTCCCAAATACCTGGCACAAAGTTGCAAAAGACCACTGAAGTAAATACATGTATCACACCTAGGAAAAACAACACAGCATTAAAATATCACAGCCTAATCATATGCACATGCAGGGGTCATTTCCTGCAGGAGCACACAGGAGCGGCGCTCCGGCAGTAAGGAGCTCAGGGGGTGGGAACATGCAACAAGCCCCGCCCCCTGCTCCCAGCAGCCCTCAGTCAGAGCAAGAAGTAGCCAGGTAAGCTGCAGAGCCCCCCCCCGGTCTGCCTTCAGGTACAAGCTCTCCCTCCTCTGTGAGAACAGATCTGCACGTCCCCGTCCCCCCCAATAGCTAGCAATACAAAATAATCCAGTGGAGCCTGAGCGGTGGGTGTCACCTTCTGACACACTTCCGGTGAGGTCAGGGGGTGTGGCATATGCAAATAAGTTATGCTAATGAGTTATGCTAATGAGCTCCTGCACCTCTTTTTCCACAAAATGACCCCTGTGCACATTTACTCAGAAGTCAGTCTCACTGTCTTGAGTCTGCATAGGATCATTATGCATAGGATCTCAACCTTACATCCACTTATGCCTAAAGAAAGAAATTGAGTCAAGAAAGATGATACCTGTGGTCCCTAAAACATTATCTATCTGGTATCCCGATAAATTTCAAGTCTCCTCCTTCGGTCTCTAGAACAAAGTAGTATCACTTGGTTGTCCCCACTCCCCCAGGACTACTTGAACAGACAGGAAAAGGAATTCTTCAGACCTGTAACTGGACCAATGCTCCCTCTAGGCCGTAAAATCTTGAGAGCAAAAGTTCTACTTTGTGAGCTACTGCACTAAAGTTGTGAGCGAGCGATTTGGCTACTGCATAAATCAGTTTGCTCTGGAGCCATCTTTCCTGAGCTAAGACAAAAATGTGTGAGCCAGAGGCTAAAAAACTGTGAGCTAGCTCACACTAGCTCAGCTTAGAGGGAACACTGAACTGGACCCTTGAGAAAGGTGGACCCATGAAATCTCTTCTCTATTTCTACCCTTTTGAATTATCCAAGAATTATACAACATTGAATTTGACCTCTAGGACCCCTTAGCTGTGCCAGAGCTTGACATTTGCACACCTAGCTCAGTAATTCTTTGCCTGTTCCCTACCCCATTCCACCATAACTCCAGTTCAGAAAGACCATTCTACTTTCTGGGAGGGTAACAGGTCAAGCAGTTAAGCAAGATTTACCCTTAGAGTGCTTGGTTGGAAAAAAGTGAACCAAGAATGGTTGTGAACCTTTAAGGGTACTGTTAGCCGAACTGCTTTATCTACAGCAGAGGCAAGACTAAATGTTTGGGGTCCCTTCGCCTGTGTATGCAGAAGTCCAAAAACGACCCAAGGAATTTCCCAATGGTATTAACGGAGACGAGACTAGTACCTTGAAATTAAGTTGTTCTTTTTACTAAGTAATAGTATTTGGTTCACATACATACAAAAACGGAATCACACGCACAATCATGTAAGTTCCTCGGGGTTACAAGAGTAGGAAATGGTCACTTTTATATTAAAGGATGGGAAAGGGGAGTAGCAAATACTTATCTGATCCGAAGCTTGACCTTCTCAATGAAGAATACAGGAATAAGACTAGAATAACTATAGGAAATCTATATGCACACGGTTGGAACCTGCCAAACACGTGTGGACCTCGGCGGCTGCAGTCCACGAGGTCAGTAAGAACAAAGAGTTACTTGTACAGCAGGGCTGCAAGTAAATAGCTTAAGAGAGAAGATGGCTAGCAGGGTTCAAACTGTTGAACCTCACTTTATATAGGGGGGCTCTTGGGGGCTGGCATTGATGCCATCCTCCTTGTCCTTCCCACCTGTGGTCTGTCCCAAGAACTAACACTATTGGGTACTAGGCAATGACATGCCTACCTAGGAGGAGTGGACAATATTGAAATCTAAACCTTTAACTCAGGGGATGCATCTGGTCAAGGTGTGAAGATGATGCCAAGGCAACCATTGATGTGTAGATGGATGTAGCCTGGTCCCAAGCCATAAAACGACCATTTGGCAGGAAACTGTCTTTTTGGATGCAAACCAGATACCAAGGGTTACGTCTCTCCTTACAGTTCATGCATGGTGGTTGAAACCATAAAAGTTGTCCTTTATGCTGACCCACAATGGCGATGCTTTCTTCTTCCTCAGGCTGGGGACGTGTGAGTGCAAACCTCATTAGCATAAAGTGCAGGCAGAGCATCTCTCAGGTGAGGCAGTTAGCACACATCTTTCCCAAACCCATAGAGAGTCATAGTCACAGTCCATGGCAGTGAGTGTGTGTCAGCAAACATAAATACATAAAAGCAAATATTCAGTTCATCTGCTAACAGTACTGTTGCTGAAACTCCAAGCTCTTGCTGCTCTACAGTGAATAGTCTCAAACTGTGGCATCAAAATCTGCTTGCTGCTGTGACCTCCATGAGCAGTCATTGGCCAGAGTAATAGAAATCTGATTATTTCTTCCCTCGCCAGAAGCATCCAATGTTTGAAAAAAATGTGTTCACTGATCTGTAGTTAATGAGGTCACAGGCAATGCTCCCTCTAAGCTGTGAATTCTCGTGAGCAAAAATTCTACTTTGCGAGCGACTGGCATAAAAGTTGTGAGCAGGCGATCTGGCGACTGCATAAATTAGTCTGCTCTGGAGCCCTCCTTCCTGAGCTAAGACAAAAAACCTGTGAGCCGGAGGCTAAAAAACTGTGAGCTAGCTCACACTAATTCAGCTTAGAGGGAACACTGGTCACAGGGCTGATGAAGATTTGCTAGAATGTTACACTGCCTGGCCTGTTGTCTTCACTAAACTACCAAGTCGGTGACTTGGCACACATCATGTTTCACCCTCACAGCAACTCTACAGGTAGAGACATAGTAATTGTCAGGTACTCCAATAACTCAATAACAACACACAGGACCTGGATGGGTTGTTTATTGATCAGAGTACAGGATACGCCATGAACTTCTGTGTTAGGAATAACGTAGGACGCACGGGCTAAACAGTTATACCTCATTCGTATATGATCCCCCTGATGAGCAGAGGCCAATGAGCAAGCATCTGCAAGTGCGGGGAAAAGCTAACGGACCCAGCGAGGGTGGGAGATTGGTGAAGGCAGGGCTATTTTGGGGCAGGAACGCACAGGAACGGAGTTCCGGCTGGCTCCCAAGTTGGCCACGGCCAGGAGGAACTCATTAGCATAATAGGCCACACCCAACAGCAGAAACTCATTAGGATTGGCTACATTAGGGGTGTGTGGCCTAACATGCAAAGGAGTCCCTGCTACAAAAAAAGCCCTGGGTTTTGACAACAAACAAGGTAAACAGAATAAGAAGCAAAAGGTGGGTGTGGCTGGATGACCACACTTCTGGTAACATAGGGTGTGGCCTAATATGTTAATGAGCTGTGTTGTCAGGGGTGTGGCCCAATATGCTAATGAGTTCCTGTTGTTGGGTGTGGCCTATTATGCTAATGAGTTCCTGACTGAAGGAGGCAAGATGGGGAATCCAGGCGCTCAAGGACACGGAGAGATAACAAGTCAACAGAGGGAAGACAGCTGCAGGGAAAAGCGAGGTGGCAAGGCGCAAGCGCAAAGCTCACACACTCCATCACAGAGACATCCCATGGCGGTGCCAACTGACAGTAACTTTGTCTGATGGGCCCATTGTTGGCCATTCCTGATTTCCTCAGCTGTCGTTAGCTCTGTGCAGTCTCCTGTAACTGTTTTTTTTTTAACCTCAGAACACTGAGCTCTGCAACTGACCAATCAGAAAGTGGGAGGCACAAGGAGGCAGCAGCCTGGCAGCCACATAGGAATCAATGGAGGGAGCACATTTTACCCCTTTCTTAGGGGTTGAAGTTCTGAAGTTCTGAAAATCCCTTCTTAGTGAGCATCTATGCCATGGTAGGAGCACTCTCCCCGAATTTCGTATCTCTAAGTCCAGGGGTTTGGCCTGGGTGTTGATTTTACGGTGAGGGGACTTTCTTTAATATATATAGATAGAATCACAGAGTTGGAAGGGACCATACAGGCCATCTAGTCCAACCCCCTGCTCAGTGCAGGATCAGCCTAGAGCATCCCTGACAAGTGTTTGTCCAGACACTTCTTAAAGACTGCCAGTGAGAGGTACCTCACCTCCTTCCTAGGCAGCTAATTCCACTGTTGCACAACTCTTACTGTAAAAGTTTTCCCTAATATCCAGCCAGTACCTTCCGGCCCTTAGTTAATTAATTAATTAATTAATTAATTTTATTCAATTTATACCCAGCCCTCCCCGCAGCATGGGCTCAGGGCGGCTTACAAGGAGGCATACGCCAATATACAAACATATTTTTTAATATTTAAAATATTTAATTTAATTCCATTATTTCAAGTCCCACCCTCTGCTGCCAACAGGAATGGTTACCTGCCCTCCTGAGTGACAGCCCTTCAAATACTTCAAGAGAGCAGTCATGTCCCCCCCTCAGCCTCCTCTTCTCCAGACTCAACATTCCCAAGTCCCTCAGCCTTTCCTCATAGGGCTTGGTCTCCAGGCCCCCCATCATCCTCGTCACTCTGCTCTGCACCCACTCCCTTCTGTCCACATCCTTTTTGAAGCGAGGCCTCCAGAACTGCACACAATACTCCAGGTGCGGCCTAACCAATGTAGTATACAGTGGGATCAAGGCAGGTGCTGTCCAACAGACAAAGGGTGCTGATTTGGGCCTGGTATCAGAGGGGCCCGATGCCTCCTCTGGCATCATTGTGCCACCGAAACGTAAAGTGCTGGTAGCAAATGGATGTGGCTAACCCCTGGGATGGGTGGCATGGTCAGGAGGGGGCACCATCCCACCAGCGACTAGCCGGGCCCTGAGGAGAGAGGGATCAACACTGACAAATATGACAAGGATATGGTGGCTCTGTGCCTGCCATCCGTACGCCTCTCTGGTCAGGTCCAGTGTTCCCTCTAAGCTAAGTTAGTGTGAGCTAGCTCACAGTTTTTTAGCCTCCGGCTCACACATGTTTGTCTTTGCTCAGGAAGGATGGCTGCTGAGCAGACTAATTTATGCAGTAGCCAAATTGCTCACTCACAACGTTAATGCCGGTAGCTCACAAAGTAGAATGTTTGCTCACGAGACCCCACAGCTTAGAGGGAGCATTGGTCAACCTCCTCTTCTCCAGGCTAAACATTCCTGACTCCCTCAGCCTTTCCTCATAGAGCTTGGTCTCCAGGCCCCCGATCATCCTCTTTGCTCTTCTCTGCACAGGCGCCATTCTTCTCTGGTGCCATCTCCAGCTTCATTTGTCTGTTACTGGTGTTTTAACCTGTTTTTGATTGATGTCTTATGACCAGGTTACCCCCTGCTCTGTCTGAGCCCGGCTCGCCAGGGAAAGCAGCGGAAAGATCCCAGTAAATAAACAAACAGGAGTCCAGCAGTTCTACAGTAAAGTTAAAGGTTTCCGTTGCTCGAAAGGTGTTCAGACGTCTACTCCCACAGGGACCATTCCCCTAACAACATGTAATCCAGCCAGTAATTACTGCACTAAGCTCCAGACATCGGCCAGGACTCGATTTCAGAGGAATAATTTGACTACATTGTGACGTATGCAGATTTGATGTGCACCTATGGGCAGAAAAATCATGTTGATCAAAACAGCATTGAAGGAGATTTACTTTAAACATACTATTAAAACCCACCAGTAGCAGTAGGCACTCCAAAGGTAAAAGGTAAAGGTTCCCTTGCTCGAAAGCCAGTAGAGTCTGACTCTAGGGTTGCGGTGCTCATCTCCGTTTCCAAGCCGAAGAGCCAGCGCTGTCCGAAGACAATTCTGTGGTCATGTGGCCGGCATGACTAAACGCCAAGGCGCACGGAACGCTGTTACCTTCCCACCGAAGTGGTCCCTATTTATCTACTTGCAATTTCTTGCTTTCGAACTGTTAGGTTGGCAGGAGCTGGAACTAGAGATGGGGTCTCGAACTGCTGAACTACTGACCTTCCACAGCCTGCAGTTCAGCGTCTTAACCACTTGAGCCACCGCAGCTCCATTTCTGCAGTAGCAGCCTTCATTTCAGCGTGCATTTCATTTGGCCTGGCCAACGCTGCTCTAACTCAAGTCTTTTCTATTGCAGGACCCAAACTGAGCTTCAGCTTCGAAAACCTATGGACTTTTAATGGGCCTAAGGGTGTGGTTTCGTTTACAATGGCAGTGTTTAGTCTTCAAGGCTCCTGTTTAATTCTGTAAAAAGGTAAAGGTAAAGGTTCCCTTGCTCGAAAGCCAGTCGAATCCGACTCTAGGGTTGCGGTGCTCATCTCCATTTCCAAGCCGAAGAGCCAGCGCTGTCCGAAGACGTTTCTGTGGTCATGTGGCCGGCATGACTAAACGCCAAGGCGCACGGAACGCTGTTACCTTCCCACCGAAGTGGTACCTATTTATCTACTTGCAATTTCTTGCTTTCGAACTGCTAGGTTGGCAGGAGCTGGAACTAGAGACGGGACCTCACTCCGTCATGCGGCAACTCAGGTCTCGAACTGCTGAACTACCGACCTTCCACAACCTGCAGTTCAGCGTCTTAACCACTTGAGCCACCGCAGCTCCTTCTAATTCTGTAGCAACGGACTAATACGGCTTCCCCTCGGGAATTCCTTACACGCATCATGCGAAAAGAGAAAGCGAGACACGAGTCACCCGCTTGTAGGACGACTCTTCCGCAGGCAGGCAGACGTGCCCAGCGAGAGCAGTACGTCCTTCTGTGCTGCAGGGGGCGCCGGCGCTCTAAAACAAGAGAGGGAGCGGAGGGAAAGTCCGGGCGTCGCGCGGCGCCTTCACTACCGGCTTCCGGTTCAATGCCGCCATACGCCAGGGCATAAAACGGAAGCGCCGTCTTCTCTCTCTCGCGTTCGCCGCCCCGCACGTTCGGTCGGGAACCTGAAGTGTCGCTCTGGGGTTCCACCGCGGCGGGTTTCCCCCAGTGCGTCGCTGTAGAGAAGAAGCGACTCTTCGGAAGGGGCGTCGGGTTTTCCTTCGCGGCCGCGGGGACGTGCGACGGAGCGAGAGCGGGGTCATGGCTGGGCCTGGGCGGCTGGTGTGAGTAGCTCGTGAGCGACACGCGGCCAGCAGCAGCAAACGACCACCACCTTTCACCTCGTGCTGGTCTTTCGAGAGCGGAGTGGGATTGGGTCCCCATGCTCGGGTGTTGCCTATCGAGAAGGGGGTCGGGGTGGGGAGCTACTGAAAACGAATATGCGCGCCCTGGGGTTGTTTGGTTTTTTATTTCTTTTTAATTAAGTCATGGGATAAACCAAGAAGCCTTTTTGAATGCATGCGTTTCAGAAGGAGAAGGAGGAAAGGTCAGAATTTCCTATGGTAGAATCTTTAGGTGGAGTCCTTTAAGAAGAAGAAGAGAAGAGATTGGATTTATACCCCCGCCCTTCACTACCCAAAGGAGTCTCAGAGCGGCTTACAAACTCCTTTTCCTTCCCCTCCCCACAACAGGACACCCTGTGAGGTAAAAGAAGAAGAGATTGGATTTATACCCCGCCCTTCACTACCCAAAGGAGTCTCAGAGTGGCTTACAAACTCCTTTCCCTTCCCCTCCCCACAACAGACACCCTGTGAGGTAGAAGAAGAGATTGGATTTCTACCCCGCCCTTCAGGACCCAAAGGTGTCTCAGAGCGGCTTACAAACTCCTTTCCCTTCCCCTCCCCACAACAGACACCCTGTGAGGTAGAAGAAGAAGAAGAGATTGGGCTTATACCCTGCCCTTCACTACCCAAAGGAGTCTCAGAGCGGCTTACAAACTCCTTTTCCCTTCCCCTCCCCACAACAGAACCCTTTGAGGTGGGTGGGGCTGAGAGCGCTCTGACAGAAACTGCTCTTTTTCAAGAACAGGTCTTTTCAGAGCTACGGCTTGCCCAAGGTCATCCAGCCAGGTGCAAGTGGAGGAGTGGGGAATCAAACCCGCTTCTCCCAGATTAGAGTCCGCACACTTCACCACCACACCAAACTGGCTCTCAGAAGGTTTTCTGAGCAGCAGGGACAGCTCTCTGTCGTCTTAATTTTATGAGGTCCACTCCAATATTCCCTCTAAGCTGAGCTGGTATGAGCTGGCTCGCAGTTTTTTAGCCTCCGGCTCACACATTTTTTGCCTTCGCTCATGAAGGACGGCGCCCAGAGCAAACTAATTGAATCAGTAGCCGAATTGCTCGCTCACAACTTTAATGCCAGTGGCTCACCGCGCAGAATTTTTGCTCACGAGACTCCCCCAGCTTAGAGGGAGCATCGGTCCACACGTTGGAAAGAACCGCCGAGGAAGAACGATGAGGAGCCCCACCTCGCGAGTGCAATATGGCTGCGCCATGTCTTGGCAGCCGACATAGGGATGCCGGTCTCCAGGTGGGACCTGAGGATCCCCCTGGAATTACAGCTCATCTCCAGACGACAGACTCCCCTGGAGAAAGTGGATGCTTTGGAGGGTGACTGTACGATGCAGAAACTCACTGAGGTCCCTATCCTCCCTGGGCGCCACCCTCAGATCTCTAGGCATTTCTCAGACTGGACCTGGCAACCCCACTCCCGCTGGTGGCCAAGGGAGGGGGGACCTGGCAAATGGAGAAGTCCGGTAGCAGCTTTTCTATCCCAGAACTTAGTTGCGTGGTAAAGATACCGTTTGAGGAAATTGGCTTTTTAACCGTTCTTTCATGGTGCGTGCAGATTGGGGCCGGGGGAAAGAATAACATGCTGGTGGTGAATGATTTCTTCCTACCAGAAAGAAACAAAGGTAAGATAGCTTTTATTAGAAATCCAAAGTTTTCATCATTACTTTTTTTTTTGGCCTACAGTTATCCCCTGTACCAGTTTGGTAATCCTCAAATAAGGATTTTCCGGACCAATTACTTCTTGACGATGGTGAGGCCTGGTGTTCGTTTGCCAGAAGACACAGTACAGTTCCGCATCCCCATGGTGTAAGTACACACAATGGAAAGAATTATTTATCAGAGTAGCATTTTAAAGAGAATATCATCCAATTCCACGGACTATCGCAACAGGCCAACAAGCTGGGCTTGTCAAAGTGCGTAAACCTTAATGAATGGTGAAATATAGGGTTGTGGCGTTTTGTACTGTTCTTGGAGTGAGCTCCCGTCTCTAGCTCCAGCTCCTGCCAACCTAGCAGTTCGAAAGCAAGAAATTGCAAGTAGATAAATAGGTACCACTTCAGTGGGAAGGTAACAGCGTTCCGTGCGCCTTGGTGTTTAGTCATGCCGGCCACATGACCACGGAAACGTCTTCGGACAGCGCTGGCTCTTCAGCTTTGAAACAGAGATGAGCACCGCAACCCTAGAGTCGGATTCGATTGGCTTTTGAGCAAGGGAACCTTTACCTTTTACCTTTGGAATGCCTACTGCTACTGGTGGGTTTTAATAGTATGTTTAAAGTAAATCTCCTTCAATGCCGTTTTGATCAATATGATGATTCTGCCCATAGGTGCACCTCAAATCTGTATACGTCACAGTGTAGTCAAATTATTGCTCTGAAATTAAGTCCTGGCAGATGTCTGGAGCTTAGTGCAGTAATTACTGCCTGAATTACATGTTGTTAGGGGAATGGTCCCTCTGGGAGTAGACGTCTGAACACCTTGAAAAACATGTAGGTAAATTCCCTGTTCCCTGCAGGCTTAACTTTTGGGGAACACTGGAAATGAGTGAAGTGTGTTTAAGATAAGATTCTGCTAACTCCAAGTGTCTTCTAAGAATCATGCACTATGGAGACTTTTGTAGAACAATCTACAATTTCTGCATAGACACAACGCGGAGGTCTAGGATACATTTTTGCAGCTAGAGGGTACTGCGGTATTCATGAGAGGAGATTATAGGGCCACCTCAGTGGCTGCTTCCTTTCCTGTGGTTAGAGTGAACTAAAAGCCAGTGGTACTCTCCTGCCTATGTTACTTGGCCCCCCTGTGATCAACCTTTTCACCTTTCCTTTAAAAAGGACTGTGGAACTGCGACAGGGAAACAAGCAGAGAGGTGAAGGACCAGAGAAAAAATTGAGGGAAGGGGGAGCGTTCCCACTTTTCCCCAAGAACATCGTTAATTTCAATTTTTTTTTCTCATGAAAGATTTATTTATTTATTTATTTATTTATTTATTACATTTGTATCCCGCCCTCCCCAGTGGGCTCAGGGTGGCTAACAGTGGCAGGTTGTTAGCCTTGCCATAAATAAGAACATATAAAAACATAATAAAAACTTCAATACTAAAAGCACAGTACTCTATCCAATTACTAGTATCCTAGATCCAAGATGGTATCACCACAGTTCCAGATGGTACTCCCGTAGCGTACATATCCAGTGGCGACGGCTTGTCAGATCTTCTGTATTTTCTAAGTTCTTCCTCAGGCCTCGTCGATGCATCCATTAAGATGTCTTGACGGTGGTGGTATAGTGGGGCGGCGGCTCCTACTCAAAAGCCTGGCAGAAGAGCTCCATCTTGCAGGCCCTGCAGAACTGCACAAGGTCCCGCAGGGCCCAGATCTCCCCCGGGAAAATATAGAAACAGAGCTGGAAGGAATCCCAACGGTCACGTAGTCCGACCCCCTGCACAGTGCAGGATATTCACAGATCCCCTGCTCAAGTGACCCCTGCTCGATGCCCAGAGGAAGGCAAAAAAACCTCCAGAATTCCTGGGCCAATCTGGTCTGTGGGAAAATTCCTTCCTGACTCCAAGAGGGTTTTTCTGTGCTGGGAGCCGTGGCCGTTGCTGCTGTTGGTGGACGGGGTGGGTGGGAGAGAAGCCTGGTGAACCACCTGCTAGGCTCACCTGCGGCCTCCTCCTCCTCCTCCATGTGGAGCTCCTGCCGCTTCAGTGGCCAGCCACCCAGGAGCTGCAGGGAATACTCCCCCCACCCCGCAAGTATCGCGGGTCCCACCTCTTGTGGTCTATACTTCCGTGTTTAGTTTATTGTAAGTAGCATCTTATTTGTGTAATTTCTGTACCGTTTAATGTGTCATGTGAATAGTTATGCTGTGCTTCCTGACTTCTAAAATCTTACTGCACAGTGGACCAGATCACGCCAACCCCTCACAATGCGGAGTTGCATCAATTTCCTCGCAGTGGATCACACTTAATTTTATCAATTTTTGGAGGCTCTGCTTCGGTAGAGCTGAAAAGGAAAAAAAAAACCTTAACGCACTGATTATTGACTGTTCCATTTTTGTGATTATACTGGTTTACTATGTAATCCACCTTGATTCTTTGTGAGGAAGAAAGACTATAAATAATATAAATAAATTAAAAAAGTGGTAATGGGCATATAAGAAAGGGTCACAAGAGCCAAGAACTGGCTCATCTTTTCCTAGCCTCCCTCTCGTGATCTGCCTAAATTCATTGTGAGTCATAGTATCAGCATTGCTGTCAGATGGCCACCTAGCCTCTGCTTAAAAAACTGGAGAACCCACCACCTCCCGAGAATGCCTGTTCCACTGAGGAACTGCTTAATTGTCAGGGATTCTTTCTGATGTTTAGCTGAAAACTCTTTTGATTTAATTTCAACCTATTGGTTCTGGTCCATCCTTCTGGGGAAACAGAAAACACCCCTACTCCATCCTCTCTGTGACAATCCTACAAATAATTGCAGATGGCTATCATATCGCCTCTCAGTTTTCTCCTCTCCAAACCGAACATATCCAACTCCTTCAACCTTTCCTCATAGGACTTGGTCTCCAGACCCCACACCATCATCATTCTCCTATGATCCAGAGATCAAACAACATTATAACAGTCTGCGTCTAGTACACACAACATATAGGTGTAAACATTTTTTTAAAAAAAGAAATTTAAAAACCTTCCTGTACCTGCTAGCTTCCCCGTGAATCTAACCTTACCACGTAGCTTAGCTGCTTTAATGGAGGTTTTGTTTGAATGATTTGCAAGGAGAAGAGATGTGTAAAATGAATCCAGTCTACCTGGGAACTCATATAGAATAGGGATGATTTATGAACTGCATGTCCTTGTAGAATTTACAGTGTAGTAACCCATGCTCGACAGTTTCGACTGTGCCGGATTGGTAGGCACAATGGCGCTGGGAGTATGGAACGCGTACGTATCTCCCATCTAGAAGTGCTGAAGGTGAAAGATGAAGCCAAGCCAGGGTGAACTCTCTACAGTGTTTGGGGAATTCTATGGTGCAGAGGATTGGAGCTGCGGTGGCTCAAGTGGTTAAGACGCTGAACTGCAGGCTGTGGAAGGTCGGTAGTTCAGCAGTTCGAGACCCGAGTGTGCCGCATGACGGAGTGAGCTCCTGTCTCTAGTTCCAGCTCCTGCCAACCTAGCAGTTCGAAAGCAAGACATTGCAAGTAGATAAATAGGTACCCCTTCGGTGGGAAGGTAACAGCGTTCCGTGCGCCTCGGTGTTTAGTCATGCCGGCCACATGACCACGGAAACGTCTTCAGACAGCGCTGTCTCTTCGGCTTTGCAACGGGGATGAGCACCACAACCTTGGATTCGACTGGCTTTCGAGCAAGGGAACCTTTACCTTTATGGTGCAGAGGTAATTCACCGGCACAAAGTTTCACGTGTAATTCCCCACCACCAGATAGAGGTGTGCCCAAGCTCTCTCAGCTTGGAGAGATGTATCTTATTATTTCTTTGCCTCCCAAGGACCCAAGGTGGCAAATTGCTGAGGAGGAGAAGAAGGTTTGTAGCTAGGGGAGGGCTGGGTTGAGAAGGGCAATGCCCTCCCCCCAAATATACCCTGCCCCCTCACTTGTTTATTTTGTGGCTTTCAGCTTTTCAGAAAATTTACATTTCTATCAGGGGCTTCAATTATATTGGTAAAATAGTCCTGACCAAATGAAAAATATATTTCCTCCAAAATGCATTTTAGAATATACCTAATGAGTCTGGTTTTTTTTGGGGGGGGGTATTGAAATATTGACAGTATATAT